GAACAGGAATAAGACTGATGGAGAATTTACAACTAAACAGGAAATTGACTTTGGTTTCACATATTAAATTTACTGTGATCTGCTGTGTAACTGCATCCAAGTATATCGATGGAAAGTTAGGTGGATGGTAAAAGTGCATAAGTCGAAATTCATATAGGTTTTTATACGAGTTTTAGTTTGTGAATTGAAGTGCTGAAATAAATGAAAGTTTTTTTTTTTTTTTAAAGAAAAAATGCAGCTGAAACGGTTTTTCCCTTCCAAACTGTCCGGCCGGTGTTCTGACCTTGCATGACGGCCACCAGTCCGGTGCTGACCCCAGACACCACATCGCCCAGCAGCCACTCTCTGACTCTGTACGTCCTCATCCAGCCAATCACAGGCAGAAGAGAGACCACTGCGTTTTTGGCACGATTTGCATTGCAGCTGCATCAACCGAACAAACACAAAGAAAACATAAATACAGTTCATCTGATTCTCTCTCTTACCTGTTTCGCAGAAAAGTTAAAAATGAGAGCAGTGATGCCACTGCGTTGATTGAGCCCAGGAACACTTACGTCAGGTTTTCCTTAACATGCTCCAGGAGCGCTTTGTGTTTCCTCTCGATTTTCTCATGGTCTTCAGCGAGGCTGTCTTCAGAGTACACAGGTCTAAAAACCACATACTGTTTTCTCGAAGTCACTGTCATTCCAGTGAACGTTTCTGAAAAGTCCAACTCCGGCAAAATGCAAAAGATCCTTTGAAGAACCTTTGGCCAAAGCCTCTAATCTGAAATTTGTCATCAGTCCCTTCACGATGCGGTTTTTGTCTGCGCTCTGTTCAATAATTAACACACAGATTTATAGTTCATTGGGTCGACATGTGCCATCTCTTTATTCTCTTTCTGTTACTTTACCTGGGAATGAGTGGAAGTGATAAACCAGCTAGAATTCAAGGACACTTCACATCATAATCGTTAATATCGTAGGGACTTTTTTGAGATTGATTTTAGGCTTATGATGTTGTTAATCATAAACTTCTACACAAAAACCTGAACTAAGGTTTGTCAGGAAGCCTTAGTGGTTTCTATTTCTAGTGGTTTTAGAAACATTAACTGATAACAAGATTAAAGGATTTACTTTCAATGGTGTTACAATCCTATGTGGGATTCCACAGGGAGTTGCTCTACTGTAGCAGTTAAGAGTTCAATATACTACCATAGAAGTTTTTATAGTATGTCTCTCACTCCTTATCATACTGTAAAATATCCATGAGCACAAAACAGACCAATACAAGTAAATTATATAAAGGTTATTTTTAATTTTGATAACAGAACTTTGGCAAAATTATTCATTTTTTAGATTCATTATTACAACAAAAATGGTCTACAAATTAAATGTTTACAGTATAAAAAACAGTATATGGCTTTTGTAATAAAACAGTACATTTGATTGAATGGTATAACAATATTTTCTATGTACAACAATATAAAAAAACCTGAAAACAAGCTGTTAAATTCATGATAAAAAAGAGTCTAAATGGAATGGATTTATTTACATCTGCACCTCATCTAGGTCCTATAATGTTTCTCACACAGAAACAGTCACATAAAACATTTTCTTTTATATATATAAAAAAAACTTACAATTTTGTAAACACAAGCTTAGATAAACAACAGACATGATATATGAAAGATATATGAAATGTTTTGCAGGAATTCATTACGTAACTGATCATTATCAGCGTAAAAACCTGATAAAAGCAGGAGTCCTGCCCACAGCCATCACTGTACAATAACACCCATGAATTTCTAGTTAATATGTCTTTTAAATTCCCTTTGGGATCAATAAAGTATTTTTAAATTTGAATTTGAGTGGTGGATGTTTGCTGTTCTGGAGCATCCAGGTGTGTGTTAACACGAATTCAAGAACACTTCACATCATAAGTGTGTGTTAACATGATGCCAAGACATCACTGATGACCTCAGGGAAACAACTGCTGCTGCCCATCAATCTGGGAAGAGTTATAGAGCCACGTTCAAACGTTTTCATGTGAAAGATGACTGAAAAGTGGAACAGATTTAAATTCCTCCCTAAGTGAATCTGGACTCCATGGACTTGAATTTGAATTGGGTCCGTTTTCCATTTGTTGTTGCTTGTCTGCAATACACAGATCCATGTTTGGATGTTTGACAGAAAACAAACTGCAACTTTTCATCATCGTCATCTGAATGTGAAGCCAGAAGCTAAAGCTTGACTTAAATCGGCTCAAATGGCTGAAAGACAACAGAACGGCCCAGTCAAAGTTCAAATCTAAACCTGATTGATGTTAAGCGATGGGGTATTAGGAGAAATGTGCATAAATCAGTTCCTGTAGCCATTCAGAATGATGTGAGAGACGAAAACAGTAGGAGTTGTTCCTGCTAGCGCCACCATGAGGTGAACTCTGTCTTTTCACGCTTGTGTTTTGTTTTTCAGTTAGATTTCATCATGTATTGTTAATCTGGGATTGTATTTACATTTTTTTTTCACCCAATGCAATATGGATTTACCTTTTCGTAATGATTTTACAATCATTTAAACCGTAATCTCTAAAACATATATTAATTAGGCATGATAAATAAAGCGATGTATAAAATATATAGTCTTCTTTTCTTTTTTGCCGTTTCGTTTATTGATTTCGTCTTCTGTCCCGGTTAGAACTTGGTCTCTGCAGCTGGCACTGGACCCTGCAAGACAAGAGTTTCACATGTATTTTTCACATTTTGCGTCTTTATGGAGGTTTTATGTGACAAACACATAAACAGAGCTGAGCACTTTTTAAAGTTTATATGTAAGAACTAACCAACAGATTATTCCTTCACTTTTACATTTCTCTGCTTTGCCTGTAGCTCAGAGTGAGGCTTATGGTCTGCATATAGACCGAAGCATGAGCTTATGAAGACGGCATGTTTTATTTCTTTGGAGTGGTGCTTTATGTGTTTCGTCCTTGACCTACATACAGCTGAATGAAATGAAACAAGTTAAATATTTCCCAAAACTCAAACAATGAGTGCACCGAGTGGCAATGACCCGACTGTACGGGACGATTACAACAGCAGGAAGCTTCAGCTGGGAAAAAAATAAATAAAAAAATCAGCTTACATTTTTATCTCTGCTCCTCAGATTGCCACTCGGATGGTGGACCGTCACTGTTGTCAGTATCTGTAGGGAAACATGAACACATTCAGGTTTTGTACATTTTGATTGTGCAGGTGGAACCAATCATGCTGGATAAAAATACAAACATTTCTCGCTTTTCGTTTCTGACATAAGACATTTCCAGTTTTAGATGAGTTGGGATTACTGCAGTTAGTTCTATTTGCTAAATTCTGCCTTCAAATTAGACGTTTGTAGTTCGTCCTGTGGATGTGAGCATCCTGCTTTCTTGTGTGACATCACAGGGAAGTGGAAAGAAAGCAGGAAGAGAATTGTGGGCTTCCTCCAAAAGTTAGGTGATCGCATGTTGAAATAATTACAGAATGTCCAGCATTGTGCTGGTCAGGAAAGAGACGGGTTCTGTGACCCAGAGGTGAAAGTGTTTGGGTGTAGAAGGCTGGCCCAGGAAGTTAAAGTTGCTTCCAAATAGACATTAATCCTCAGTATAACAGCAGATTAGTTATGAGCGACGTCAGAACAGCAAAGTGTAGATTTTAGTTCTAGAACTTCAAATAAGATCTAGAGAAGTTTATAGATTCATGCCTGAAACGTTTAATCTAAGACATACAGTTAATGCAATTCAATCTAAATACTAAACTTCAGAGTTTGAAGAATGTAAGAAAGAAAAAGAAAAGAAAAATTGCAACATTTGTTTAGCATATAGAGTGCTGTTGGTGATCCTAACTGAGCTAAAACAGGAAGCGTTTAGTCTGATTTAATGTCAGACAACTAGGAAACGGTTGCCAGTCGTGATGTGATCTAATGAGAAGGTTTTTAACCTTATCCCGGTCTGCTTTCCTTTCTGTCGTCTCTGGATGTTTCTCCAAAATGTGCAGCATGGCGTCGTGCAGCGTTAGGAAGAACATGGAGGGCTGAACCTCCTCATCAAAGAAGCAACACTTGTGGAGTTTCTCCAGGATGTACGCTGTGGATCAGAAGAAATGAGAGTTGCATCAAAACTTCCTGTTTCTGTTGATGTGAGAGCTTTAGTTTATGTCTTTTCAAAATCAGTTAGTTTTAGTCTTGGTGTGATGCTTTAAACTCAACTTCCAATATTCGTACTGGACTGTCAACTTAAATGCAAATGAAAGACGACACTGGAAGTCTACAATTTTTGCTCATTCTTCTTGGTAAAACAACCCGACTCAGTCAGATTGGATGGAGAGAATCTGTAGAAATCTATTTTCAGATTCTCATTCAGATTTACATCTGGACTTTGACTGGGCCATTCTAACAAATCTAAACCATTCTGATGTAGCTCTGGCAGTCTGTTAGGGTCATAGTTCTGCTGAAAGGTGAACTTTGACCTGGTATCAAGTCTTTTGCTGTCTCTTTTCTTGTGTTTCTTCGATTGATGAACCAGAGAAAATGGACATTTTAAAGATGAAGCTGCTAACGGTGTTGGAACTTGTCGGAACCGGAGTTTCACACTTACGATCACAAGCTACGATGTAGACCTCAACTTCAACACGGACCAGTTCTTTCAGCAACTGCAAAGGAAACGGAGAGATGAAGGTGGTAGGGGAAAAGGTGGGAGCGATAAGAAGATATTCAGATCACAGGAAACAGAATCCCTCACGGTTTTGAGTCCCTTCAGTCCAGATATGTCCAGAAAGGAGACAGCAGCGAAGTCCAGCACCAGGCTGTGGATGTCCACCCTGGGAACCACCATGTTGGCAGGAAGCTCGGCGTTCCAGTCGATGCGGATGGGAAGGTCCTTGAAGTCGATGGGCTTGTCCAGCTCCTCGTTGTCGCTGTCTTCTAACGGGTCCACCAGGGAACCGTTTGTTGTGTTCAGGAACCCTTTCTGCAGCAGGAAAACATAGATTTATTTTTAATCAGGGAGATTTTAAACATTTTAAATGGCAGATAGATTCCTTCTTACTGGGATCTTTACTGGTAGCTATGGTGCCAAATGCAAATCCACAATGTTTTTAAGGCATTTTTGTCATAGTGGAATAACAAGACAGTTAAAATGTCACCAGGATGTTTTCTACATACAGTGGACCTCCATCTATTCACAGTTCAGTATTCATGGATTTTTTTGTGGAACGTAATTCATTCATTCATGGGAAACCTGCCAATCCAAAGACTTTTTGTAGCATATCTAGAAAAAATGCTGTTCGGCGCATTATTGACTGGTATTTACATGCAAATGAAGGATGGAACGATGGAAATGTCTTTGGGATGTTATTCTGAATGTTCTCATGTTGCAGATTACTGACTGCATTTTCAATAATCGTTAGTCTGTGTGCCTGATTTTTTTTTTTACAGTGCAAACTACAAACCAAAGTAAAACAAAGTATCGTTCAAAGTGATATTAAATGTCCATGTCAGACACACTCAGTGTCCTCATTTTTCACAAATGTACAATGTGAATAATATGAATAGTTTGAAATGTAATCAAAGAGTCTGTTAATGACCATTCAGTGCTGGATTCAACAATGTTATTACAGAAACATTGTTTTAGTTTATGTCAATATGGGGAATGATGTCTGTTTGACTTCTGCATATTTCATTAATTATTAAAGTCAAGTTAAGCAGTCTTAACTTGACTTTAATCACACATCCTGGTCTTGGATGTTCTGGAAGAGCAAAATAAGGGATTATCGACAATCCACCTTTTGTTTTTTTATGGGTTACTGGCACAGATAGAGGAAGATAATTCCAATCAGACCATCGTAAATCTTTATCTATACAACACAAAAGCACGAGAACTGTCAGGATCACAGGCTTGTTTGTGTCCCATCACAACGTTTAATCTTGATAGAAGGAAATAAATCTGTCACTGTTTACTAGAAAGCATATCTGCACTCGGTTCGATTGGGGTTTTTCCAAATGAGGATGATTCGTTTTATATGGAAGTCAGATTTGTTTACATGCCAGCAATTACGAATAATTCTCTGCTTTTTCCTACATTATCAGCTGCTTATATCATGTAGATCAAATTTATTGGTTTCTGTTGAATTGTCTCTACCGCCACAACATTTACGCACAAGTTATGCTATGCTATATATAGTTTTAATTTGTTTTTACTGTATTTCTTATTTTTATGTATGAAATTGGATGAATGTTTGTATCTTGTGGTGTTTATTTTATGTGACTACGGATGGAAATGAACATTTAGCTAAATCTGGCATATTTACCACAACTAACATGCACTGCTCCATTTAAATAAAATCAATCAGTTCGTTGTATAAGTTTTAACATGAACATGGTTGAACAAGTTGCTATAATATGTCAAACATATTCTATACATTCCAATTAGACATTTTTTTCTAAAACTGTCCTAAACTGGTACAATGTCCCAAGTCCTACAGTGCCGTCTTTTCCTTTCTGCAACACAATGACATGGTCTGTTAACAAATTACAGGTTTTTTTTTTTCCTTTATGCTATTTGTACGAACTATTTCAAGATGCATTTCCTATTTTGCAAATGACGATGAGAATTTGATAAATGCACCAAAGCGATAGGCTGGGTGTGTTTCACTGTTGAAAATTCACAGTTATATCAAAGCAAGACGAGGTGGCGATATCAGTGCAGATGCTGAGTTGCTCAACCTTTTGTTGTGCTGTGGAACGGTTTATCTGAGTGAAAGTCTCGTGCTGTTGTCACTGAACAAATAATACTCACCGATGTCCACTGGAGGTCACCTTTCTTCAGAAGTTTCCGGATTCTACTTAGAGCTTTGTTCCTTTTTTTCAACACTCTCAGAGGATTGAAGCCAAGCTGAAAACAAAAGGATCAAATTTATAAGATAAATGTGCATGTATCTTTTTAAGAAAGCGTGTATGCTGTGTTGAAACTTACAGCTTCCACTAGCTTGTTCCTAAAGAAGTCCATGTTGGCGAAGAAGATTGGGGACGGGATTCTGAAAATCTTCACCCCCTCTGGTTCATTTATCTGTGGAACATCAGGATCACCAAGCATAAGTTATTGTAAATGTGTGGTAGAGTATACAGACACCCAATGACCAGAAGACGGGCAGCGTTGTGCAATAGCTTCCATGCCCTTTGAAATTTAATGCATTTTGTCACGTCAAAACCACAAAGCAATGTAGCTCACATGGAATTTAACTGACAGACACAAAGTTGTGTTTAATTCTAACGTACAAATGTATCTTTTTGGTTGTAAAATGTAACATAGCTCGAGTTGTTTTGTGTCAAAATCTCATGCTACTTATAGCTTGCTGCATGACAGATGTAAAGAAGGCTAAAGGTGGCTAACTTACAGAGATGTAGTCCTTCCTGTCTTTGTAAATTTCTGTCCCCTCAATGTTGGCTAGCACACTGCAGCGAGGGCTGAAAAAAAAGAAACGCAATAAAAGTTTAACATTGGTACTTTCTAAATCTGCTAGCTATCAACTGTGTATTGAGAGTGCTAGGATAACTGCTTCACTTGCTATGTTACATACTCAAAACCTTAATTGTTCTTGCTTAAACCAGTTTTTACATGATTGGGAAACACTGGGCTCAAGTCTGCCAAAACCACCATCTCACTACCTGTATATTAGCATGCGTTGTGTTAGCATGCTAAAATAAAAGAAACTCTTGGAAATCCACGGATACCTGGGATTAACAGCTGGTAGGCTGGAATTTCTACAACAGGCTAACTTAGTGGCATTATATTAGAGCATCGTAATATTTATTTGTCAGTTGTAATTTAGAGTTTTTGTTACATCAGGAAGTAGACCCTGGCAAGATACTAACAACTGAACCCGGAGGACGACGCAGATCAACTCCACACCAAGACTAACAGCCAATCCAAGATCCAGCCCCAGCAGGATGGCCGCTCCGCAGGTGACCATCCACACCACCTATACATGCCAAGAAGAAGTACTTGTTTTTGTTAACTGATCTTTATTAACTCAGTTGGTAAGACTGTGAACATTTTTCCTAAAATAACTCAATTGTTTGATATCTTACACAATCTGGCCTGTCTCTCCTCCACAGGTAAGGAATTTCATTGAACTGCATCAGCATGCCCTTCAGGTTGATGATGACCACGGCACCCAGTACAGACTGTCAAAACGCCGGGACAAGAGTTCCTTTCAGAGACCTGATTCTTTGGCAGTGTCTCAGTTTTAGCAGACTGTAGTTCTCTTACCTTTGGTAAAGGCTCAAGAAGATATCCAATAGCCAAAGTGACAATCATCACTATAACAGCTGATAGTAAACCAGCGATCTGAAAAAAAATACAAAAAAACCATCAGACTGGGAAATCCAGATAACTAAAACAATCAGAAGCATATTTGTAAGGATTTGTGAATGATTTCAAGTGTCTTAAGTGACATAAATATTTCTTTAAAGGAGAAAATATCATATTCAAGCAACAGAAAAACAAAAAGGTTTGGAAGAATGCAAAGGATATTAATCCCAGCAGGTCTTTACATTGATTTTCAACGTGGATATGGCAATTCTAAAACATGTAGCCATGACTACCATATGTTTACATTGAGTCCATATCGACACTGTCTTGAAGCCTGTCACCATTTTTAATTGAAATATGTCAAATTGATTCCCCCGGATTATGAAACAATTGGATTTTTATATCTAATGGAAACAACAATCATAAACTAATAGATCAGGTCACAACACTGCTGATGTCATGGCAACAACAGTCAGCAGTGAGACCACGAGATAGACGTAAATGTTGAAATGTATTCTTTTACTGACAATTAGCCAGAGAAGAAATATTTTTCCTCTATCAGTTGTGTAGCGTTATCTTTATGTGACTTTGAAGGGCTAAATAATACCTTATTGTGAGAGAAGTAAATGCAGATGGATGTGTGGAGTGTCCTTGGAATAGTATTTATACAACTAGATTACTATATTGCAGTTAAAGGCCTAAGAGTAAAACATGCACTGATTATGTGGAAAAAATGAGACTTTCACAATCAATCTATGATCTCACAGAGTTCTGTTTTGGAGATGCAAGAGGGCTGTATAGTTGTACTTAAATCCACTCTATCAGGTTGTCTAAAATAAACCCCTTTATCAACTGCAATAAATATTAATCAGTACAACTGCTCATTTTACCTGAGTTTTTCCCCCTGTACTTTCTTGTACCGCACTCCTGGAAAGCGTTGTACTTGCTGCGAAGGCCTTGAAGGACGCTCCAAAGATATTGCTAACTCCAAAGGCGATCAGCTCCTGTAGCCAGGACCGAGAGAAATCGTGCCTTGGTACAGAGGTACACATCACAAGCATACTGGACCGTTTATCTAGTCAGTGTTGCAGCATACCTGGTTTCCATCTATTGTGTAATCATGTTTTATAGAATAGACTTTTGCCACAGAGAAGGCCACAGCAAAACCCACTATAGCCATTGGGAAAGCTTCCATCGCCGTGTGCTGGAAGACCTGAAGGTTTGGGGCGACTGGAGGCTCGTATCTGAAGCAGCACACAACCCGTCAGACAAATGTAATCCATATACTATTAGCATTAAAACAAAAACACTTGCCTACAAAGTATTCTGCCATGTTTTAGCCAATCAAAGTAAATCCAAGATAGAACAAATTCTACTCACCCTAGGGGAATTTTTCCAACAACGTCAATGCCATATCTGGTCCGGAAGTCAAAAGCATAAGAAACTCCACAAGTAATAACAGTCTAGGGAGAACACAGGGAACATGGGGGTCAAAACTAGACGATACGCATAATTGGTGTTATTAGATTTATAATAATACAGTTAATAATCCTTTATTTGTTCCCCCACTGAGGGACAAATAAAGGTGTCTAATTATGTGCTTCTGTTTTAGTTTTGTATGTCCAATTGTAATACCTCATCAGAAACCTTGTGACCTTATGTCACTTTAAAAGGTATTTACAGCTATAAAATTAATCCTAACCTAAACCTGTGCTATCACTGCGTCTGTCAGATAAGAAAACAGTTATAACTATGAAAGATGTTTCACAACGCTTGCTCACCATGATAACCTCTATCGGGATGGGAACAGGCAGTTTAGATTTGTATCTGTCATTTAGCTCTTTCACAAGAAACACCGTCACCATGATCACAAGGGAGATCACAATGTCACACACGTTGCTGGACGTGATCTTCTTGAAGATAATCTCCAGAGTCTGAAAAACACAGCAGGAGTTTAAGGGATAAACCGCCTCGTCACTCCCTTTCCAGCGTTAAGGTGAGAAAAGGACTGAACAATTTGTAATTACATATATAAGGGAGAGGGGTCCACTGATGCCAGGAACCTGGAGCCCCAACACAAACTTTAACTGAGACACAAGGATATGGATGGCAGCAGCTGTGGTGAACCCGGAGACCAGGGTGTCAGACAGGTACATGACCACGAAGCCCACCTGTAGGATTCCCATTGCCAGCTGGAAAACAAAGAGAAATCCATTTGAATTTGCTTAGAACATTAAAGATGTTAGAAATATTCTGAATGTCTCATTTTCCACATTTTACCATACAACTTTAATTTTAAGGCATGTCTCTGTACAGAACAAACTGAATTATATACACAAATTCATTCTGTTAAAAAATGATATGAGTTCATGTTTACTTGCTCATACAGTTACTAAAGTGTTCATAGTGCACAGAATTTTAAAGGAGCAGTACTGTGTATTTTCCTGACACATAGTGCCATTTTATAAAATTTTACCTCTGTCTCTTTAAAATATTCTGCTCTTTTCTGAAGAACCCATTGAAATTGTAGCCCCGGTTTGACATATTATGGACGGTTCTACAGCTCATCCGCTTCAAGATTCGACTTGAAGGTGTGAAGCACTTTCTACTGCCTTGTTGCTGAAATGTGCCACATACATACATTTAGCTTGACCTGTTAAGTCCATTACAGATTTGGCCACTGTCACCTTGTTCTCCTTACCATTGACATCAACATGGCATTTTTACAGCTGCTTATTCAATATTTTCCAGTTTCAGACTATTGTCTGTAAAACTAAGAGATGACTGTGCCTACAAACACCAGCAGATCTGCAGCACCGGCACATCACTGCCAACATAAGTAACCTTTGGCAGAGACTCGAGGTCAACTGGTTAATTACACAAGTACCTTTCTCAGTGTAATGCTACCATCCCAACTGTATAGCTAAGCCATGCTAATCCATTCAAGGCAACAGAGATTTCATGGATAGTTACAATGGGCGTGTGAGATACGGCTGAGGTCACATGAACATTTAACTTTCATTTGCCACTGTGGCTGCCCATCATCAGCTCTTATCAAGGTGAGCTCAGTAGCTTCTTTTAGCAGAGACAAGTCCTCTTGCCAAGTCTGAATGGCATCTTGTTTCTGGTGCAATAAACGTGTTGGGAAATAAAACAACAACCTTGGTTTGGATGTATTTACTGACTAAAACGTGGCTGTAGAACATTGTGTCTTTTCTGTCTGTTATTTTCCATTGTTAGTAGATACTGACGTAATGAACTGAAAGGTTAAAAAGCTTTCCGACCTGCATGATGCCAACGAGGAAGGTCACAGAGGAGGCCACCAACACTCTCTGCTCGTCTACCGTCAGACCTGAAAATCCTGTGATGTTGGCAGCTGGCCCTTCGTCTGGGATGAGTCTAGTCACCACCGAGCCAATCATCAGACACAAGACTGGAAAAGGACCTGCAGAATAGAAAGGTAGTGAAGTGCATAGTTTAATTACTTGAGTGTTCGCCTTGAGATGACATATACAGACTTATTTGTACCTGGCCTGGCCCAAGCAGGCGGCCTGTTCATCAGCTCCTGCTAGATCCTAACCTTTCTGTTTCTCTCTTTATGCTTCTGAAGTTTGGTTCTTTTGTTGTAGCCATTTTAGGCTGTACCCAGAATGGATCTGATAGGTTTGTGGATGACCTTGATTTCTTTTTTTTTTTCCTGTCAAAATTTTCCCAAAGATCAACTGCTCCAACACCATTGTTCAACTTTGCCAACTATCATCAGGAAGAAGGCAAAGACTCATCGTCCTGAAGGACTGGAACTTTGGGTGCTTAACTTTCACATATTTTAATCATCTCTGGTCCGCTTGGCGTTGGAACAGCGCTGGAATCCACTTCAATCAAACCAAATTCTAAAAACAAGGTTTAAACAGAGCAGCAATAAAAGACAAAATTCTAAATTATATTTTTGGAGTACATCATCCCATTTCAAGGAAATGTTCCAGTGATCAGAAGCTAGAGGACCAACTGCTGCTGAACATCAGAGTCTGAAACCTTTTCAAAATCTCAGGCTGTGGGAGATAAATCTGAGATCATCTGGTCTTCATCAGATGACCTCTAGGGACATCTGATGAAGACCACTGCATTTTATTTTGTCCCAGGTCAACTAATTGGTTTTTGGGTGAAGTCTTTAGTCCTTTAGATATTATTAGAACACTATGGCATTCTAGAAATGGTTAATTATTTTCACAACTCATCAAAAATACTTGACTAATAGGAGAAATAAATGGTTTCTTTGAGAGTTCTTTGAGAACTCAGTTTTTCACAGACAGATTGTTTGCTGAATGTCAGCCTTACCCACTGAGATGTGTCTAGAGGTGCCCAAGAAAAAGTAGGGGATGATTGGAAAGAAGGCAGCAAAGAGTCCATACCAGGGAGGCAGAGAGGCCAGCAAGCAGTAGGCAAGACCTGGAACACAACAACGACAAACGTTAACAGAGTCACGGTACGTTGGTAATGTCTTTTAGTCAAAGCAGGTTACGTTTATTTTAAAGGCTCACTAGAAACGACAGCTGGTGACCAGGAAGAGAAGTAGAAACTTTAGTTACACATTACAATAAACAGGAAAGGTAATAAAACACTTACTAATATGTAATGTAATAAAATACTGAGAGGAAAATATGGGGTTTCTTGGAAATGAAATTTTAAGGTTGATCTAAAATCTAATTGGAAGTGATTTACGATAGCCATACGCTAAGGAAATGAGTTTATGTATCCTGGATCCGATGAGGCCATGATAACAAGGCCCTATTTAATACCACACAAGTAATTTCATGACTTTTGAATGTCACTGAGAAACTTTTTTTTCTTTGATAGAAACCTAAATTTAAAGGAATATGTTTTTTTTGTTGTTTTTACCATTTTTGTTCGTCACAGTTGAATATTACACAAAAAGTTTTAAGATGGGATTTCATGAATGGCTCCAGACGACCCAGTTTCAATGTAGGAGCTTTTTGAGTACCATTAACAATTATTTATTTTTTTGTCCTCACTAATACTGAGAAAGATCACATCTACCCCATATTGAATTTTGCATAACACTAATTATATATTAATATGGGTGTGATCTGTGTAGCTGTAATGCTTCCTTAACACATATCTATACAACAGCATGCAGAGAGAAACGTATGGACCCCTGAACAGAGTCTTGAGGTACTCCTCCAGAGAGGAGGCCAGAAGAGTAAACCCTCAGGTAGGTGTATGGTGAAACCTTTATTCTATCTCTATTCTATCAGAACCTTCATTGCCAACGCAAAGTTCCAAACAGAAAAGAGACAAACAGTTGTGTGTATTAAAACAGCATAACATCAGGATCATCAACATTCCTTAGATTAAGACAACCAGCCGTTGTCCAGTCAGAGATGTGACGTACATAGATAAGCAGCGTGGCTGAACATTTACCAATCCACTTCTGGGTATGTATGTTGCGTGTGCACATTCAGAGGAAAATTAATTACCAAAGGAAGCATTTTCACTGATGCACATTTTACGTTAACGAGTAGCAAGATCCCATCAGCCGTCAGTCTGGACCGTTTCACCTGCTGTTATCCCATCAGGATGAAGTCTTCTTCTGCTGCGTTTGTTTGGGACTCGGTGAACACGCCGTTGAATCTTACCTTGCAAGACAGCCACCAGTCCTGTGCTGACACCAGACACGATGTCACTGAGCAGCCACTCTTTGATTCTGTAGATTTTCATCCAGCCTATGATCGGCAGCAGAGAGAGAGCTGCGTTCTTGGCCCGTTTGGCGTCACATCTGAGGCCGGGCAAAACAGAAACACAGGCAAGACAGTCACTGCCTGGATGGGTTCAATGAATGTTTAAGTAGCTAAAACACACTACAGTATTTCCCAGCCATAATTAAGTGTTTTTACTTGCATATTTGAGCAATGCTGGTAAAAACGTAGCTGTGTTGTGGGCAGGGGGTTTGCTGAGTTAGGGGAGATACAATCACTTCAGAAACAAAATTCCATCAGTTGCCCATAATCCATTTTCTGTGTTTTTTAATGATGTCCAGTCAATGGGAAAATAAGTCGTTATATGAGACTTATTTTGTATAAATCTTATATAAAAACTTATACAAGTATGAATACTTGTATAAAGACTTTATAATTGTATATGTAGGGTAATTCATCCCTACATCAATTATCTTTACATACTTAGGTTGCTATTAGCCAAGTGAAGAACGGTGCCTGTTTTTCTTCACACACGCTTGGAATTCTAGATGTCAGTCAATTAGACCACAGAATTTTGTTTCTCTTGGTGTAATAAGGAACTTTTTGGTTAAATTCAGTTATCTGTAAAAGCCTGATCAATGTGAGGAATGGTTGATCTGGGTGGAAAAGAAAGGCAGAAAATATCCCATTATGGGATATTTTGGACAAAATTGCACTTTGATTGGTTTTAGATTAAGTCTGTTACACAATATGGCAAAAATAAAGATGTGATAACTTTCTCGCCTATACCAGATGAACATTTCAACAGCTTTAAGTTTTCAGAATCTCACATAAATTTATTTAACAATTACGAATGGATATAATGTGGAACATATTTGTTGTGTCAAACCAAATAATGACAAATTATTTATTATTTAACTAGAGTAAAAGAAAGTTTTAAAAAAATCAAGTAAATCTTTATCTGCATTACGGAAAAAACATGAAATATAATGGGTCGTTTTTAATTGCCAAAACATCTTTAGATTTAAATCTATTCTGAACCATTTTGATCTTTTATAATTTGTTTTGAGAATCTAAAGTTGGGGACTGTCAGTGGAAAATTACTCCTACGAGACAATAAACTGGGACAGGTTTGTTCATCTCCTGATCTATGACTTTGCGATTAAATATTTACTTTTCCTACATTTCCAATATAGAACAGGAATACACTTTATTGTCCCACAGTGGGGAAATTGATGTCAGACGGTGAACCCTGACTGAATATAAAATGTGTGATGTTTAGAATGTGGAGTGCTGCCTGGGAGCCTGGCTGGATGGTTGAAGTAAGAAACTCAACTGTAACTGCTTTCTAAAAGCCAAACAAGGTTTAAAGGCTCTACATACGAGCAGATGTTCAGGGGACTTAGGACTTAAACATTGTAAACCCTGACCTGAACAAAGACCTCGGTTTAAAACATAAAAGTCAAGCTGAAGTTCAACAAAATGACAGTAAAACTTGCTCACTTTGTCTTCTTCAGCAACAAATTTTTCCACAGTTCATTTATTTAAGTCCAGCCTAACTGAATGCTAAAGCTCTCAAGTTAGTCTAGAGGTAGGGTGAGTCAGAAATGATGAAAATCCAATGTTAAAGTTGCAATCCAGATTTAAGTGAAACTGTATTTACTTTGTATAATTTGCCGCCTATACAAAGATTATGAAATTGTTTTTCAATTATCTTTGGTTACTTTTCCTGAAAAAGTTTATTTTATCAATATAAAATATGTCTTACAAAAATTAAGCATCCAAGTCTTTGATGACATCACACAAGGGACCTGATTGGAGCTCTTTGAAATTCTCACACTTGTTTTTCTTCTTGTTCTTTGCTGCATGCTTCTGATTAAATTCATCCTTCTTGTGACAGAACTTGTGTTCTGTCCAGGTTATTTACTAATGGTAGCTAATTGGCTCTTTTTTTTTGCCTTTTGTGATGTCATCAACTCAAATGATCACAAAGCTGGATTAGCCATTTACTAAATTTGAGATTTTTAAAAACGTGACAGTTTGTGAACTCCTGAAGTGGAAATTCATACATCAGTATCCAGCTGTGCCTTTGTTGACTGTCTACATTTGATAATAAAAAAAAAAAAGTTTCTTTAAGACCAAAGGGGGGGGTATTCCATACCTGAAGTACTGCTTGACATGGTCCAGGGCTGTCTTGTGATGCCTGTAGACCTTCTTGTGCTCCTCGTTGAATGAATCCTCAGAGTACAGCGGCCTGGCCACCACATACTGCCTGGCTCCTGCTCGCATCATGTTGCCTTTGCTGTTTGGAGGACCGCTGCTGCCTGCTATGTGACTCTAAGGCCTAATAATCACATTATGTCAGGAGGAGAAAACATGTGTTACCTTTGAACGTCACTTTTCAAAGATTAATAACAGTGAGCAGCAGAAGCTCCAGATCCTCAGATTCAGACAGAACATGAAAACCAGGCGGAGTGATTTGACAGCCTCTGTTTTAGCTCCCAATCAGAGAGGAGCGCCTAGAATTGTAACTAATGCTCACTTTTTGCAGCAACTTTGTATTTAGTCTATCAGCTTTTTTTTTTTTTTTTTTTTTTTTGGGACAGAACCATATAGTTCTTGTTACAAATGGGTCATTTGGGGTCATTTTAGTTTCTGTCATGTTAGTTTCTGTGTCATTTTAGTTGATTAAATGTGGACTATAGATAATGAAATTCACAGTAAAATTTTTAGACTAAAATGCGAAATCTTCCCCAGAATAACGGGACTTTACCTCGTATCATCGGTCACTTTTACTGTTATAAAAAATTAGATTTAAATTCCTGCTGAAATGTTCATCTTTTTAAATAATCATTTTTGCTAGTCATGCTGCAAGACATTTTCTTTAGGTTTTAATCCTGTAGGTCCCAAAAAAAAGACAAAAATATATATTTTTGCTATCAAAATTCACTCTCATTTTAGCAATAAAACTTCTTAGGCTAGAATAAATTTTTAATTTCATGTGTAAATCATTTGAAAAATTGCCAAAGAACTTTATATTATTATTTTTAGTTGTTTTTTTTAATATATAGAATAGAATAGAATAGAATTCAACTTTATTGTCATTACACCGTCACAAGTACAAGCAACAAAATGTAGTTTACATCTATCCAAAAGTGCTATACAGGGTATAAATATTCCCGTTTTATATGTAGTGGTTTATTATTCCACATACCTCATGCACTCCTGTTGTAAGCTTTCTTGCTCTGTTGCTCTCGTTCCAGCACCCAGGGATCAACTGGGACCTCAGATGCTTCTGCTATCAATAAATGCTGCTTATCACGACTGTAATTATTAACAGCAATTATGATGGCACGGGGTGTCGGGTGGTTAAACTAACATTAAAACTGTCAGAAAGGCTGAGTTAACATTATTTAGCAGCGGAGTCGTTTTCTTGACGTTTTCGGCTATAGACATAATGGGGAGAGTGGCTGTGCTGGACCGGTGATTTGATCTATGCGATCAAAGCTGAGCCAAAATGTTTTTGTATCTATAAATAATAATGATAATAACCAATGACATATTGGCTGCCTCTTTTTTTCTTCATTAGTACATCATGTTGGTGACTGAAGTGACTTCAATACATTGCTTCCGACAGGTTGGCAGAAGAAATGCTGTCCAGAATGTTTCTATAAGCTGACTAATTTCTATAATGCCTAATGTCTGAGTTGTGTTCATGATAATAATTTTTGACATTTTTATGCTTTATGTTGTAGGTGGTGAAAAATGCTCTCCAGGGTAAACCGGGTGGACAAAATATTTTGAATGATTGTGATGGTGACACACACAGAGGTGGGTCTGGTTAGTTTTGCTCACACTTCTCTTTAAAAAATGTTTATGTATTGTCCTAATGTGTCTACTATTTATACTGTTGTTCCTCCAGGCTGGGAAAACCAGGCATTCTTCTGTTGGTTCATGTGCTTAGTCCTACATCCAAAGGCCACAAGAAGACTCCAAAACAGCTCATGTCAAACTGTGGACCATGTTTTCAGATATGTGCAGGTATGTGGTTATTCTAATGATCCTACTTCTTTGTAGAAGCACTTTCTCATTGGCTTTGTTTGCTATCTGAATGTAGCTGTGCTGCTAAATATATTTAATAATTTTTATTATTCGTCTTCTTATCATTATGTCAAAGATGCAAGCCAGTGTTGAAGCCTTCCTCATTGCCGTGCAACCAGGACAGCCCTTC